CGCTATATATGGCTGCTATTCTGTGCTACAGTGTGAGCTTCTCTGGTGTAGTGGTTGAACATGCTGTGTTGGACACTGAATTTGCAGGTTGCTGGTTCAATTCCCCATTGTGGTCATTTTTTTTTTGCCGCCGCTGCACCCACTAACAAATATTGTACACTTGACCTTGATCAAGAGCAGCTGTCCTTTGATTTACTTCCATGCATATCATCTTTATTCAATACATCTCACAGTGAACTTGGGCATGAACTTGAACAGGGACTTGGAGGACTTGGCTAAGTACCTGGTACTTGACCAAGTCGACCCACCCGACTTGGCCAAGTCCATTGGACTTGGGGTACTTGAGGTACTTGGGATACTTGAGGTACTTGGCCAAGTACCCCAAGTACCTGTACAAGTCCGTGACGTTTTCCTGATGTGCGGAACAAACGAGTCAAATTGAGGATCAAGGGCATTCAAATAGTATGCGGCAGCCCAGTGAGGACCATACCTGCTGCTGCGACATCACAGTAGTTTCCAGTCATTCTATGCCGTCGGGTTCCTTCTTCAGTGTCCGTATTGTCGGGTGGAGACATGAGGACAGGTCACATACAAACTAGAATATCCGGCGGCAAGTTGTGCTGTCTGTGAGGAAGCCATAGGTTCAACAGGGAGTCAGAGTTGCGATGCAAGCTTTGTGGATTGTCTCTTCTCATTGTCACGGACGTTGGACAGACGCCCCGTTTTGCCGCCCATTCCCCTCCCCTTGACACCCACCTTCCATTTTCGGACCATTTCCTTTCTCAGCCCATCCCAGTTTGGACACTGTAGATACGTTCCCACACCCGCATGCTACATTCCCGTGATCGCCATGCCTTTGCCTTTTCCTTCCCGCCCTTTGTTCTCCCTTTGTCATCTTCACTGCCTCGCTCTCGCGCCTTGTCTTTGGTTGCTAAGCAGCCCCTCGAGTATATAAGGACCCCCTTAGGCGCTCCCTAGTCCCCATCTTGACCTCTTGGTCATTGGGACTAGGTGAGTGGCCATAGCGTTGTATCTCCCTTCGTTTGCTAATGTATAACTTGGTCATTGGGACTAGTCTGTCGCTGTCTGCGTGAAGACTAGCTTTCGCAGGTCTCGTGCCCTTGTGCCGACCTCCGCTCTGCCCTCGTCGAGTTTCTTGCTACGTTTATCCCTCTTTATCTCCCTTTTTCCCCTTTCGGCTCCTTGCCGCTCGCCTACAAGGTCGTCGCCGAACGTCGACCCGAGTCTACGCGCCTAGTCGCCACGACATTAGGTCGAGATCTCTCCCCCGGTGCTGACGCTCTGAACAAGAGTGTCCCCGCCGCCGCTACATTGTCTCCCCCACCCTGGACTGCGCCGGCAGACTTCACGCGTGGGACACCGAAGACCAAGACTACTGTCACCAACAGAAGGACCTAGACGACGGACTCTGGTACTGGGTACCGTGTGAGCAAAACCCCTGCCCAAACCGTCATCACCGTCCTGCCCGGATCAACTGGAACGCCTTTTCGGACGAGTTCATCCCAGTTCCTGACTCCCCCGTTGCTGAGTCGCCCACGACTCGATCCCCCATCCCCGGTACTCCGACTGACGAGCTTGAAGTAGCGCTACTCATCACGCTTCCTCCATCCCCTATCATCCCCCCAACCCGTCCACCGTCCGCTCCACCCATCATGGGACAACAAAGCGGACAACTGCAGACGACAGGCCCCGCCAACAACCCCCAGCAGGCCCAACCGGGCACCCAGACGGCAACGCAACCCCCGGACCCCATGACGGTATTACTCCAGTCGATGACTCTCCTCACCCAGTCCATGGCGCAGCTTGCAAACTCGACCACCGGGACCAGCAGTCTGAAGGCTGTTCAGAAGCCCTCCGCCTTCAAAGGCGAACAAGGAGGTGAGGCACGGCGTTTCCTGGCCGCGTTCACCCTTTGGG